ATTATCCATTCGGTTTGGATTTTTTTTCAAATCCGATCCGATCCGATCCAATTTTTTTCGGTTTGGATTGGATCGGTTTTCGGTTTTTAGAAAATCCTAAAATTTATTTCATGATTATTGTGCAAATAACATCTTTTGTATATATTCTCTTTGTAAATTATTATTTTTTGAAATACAAAAACATTAGTAAACTATAATATAGTTTTTTTTTTGGACAATGAGATATGAAGCTCTACAAAGATAAAATTTTGTTGATGAGATGTGATTAGATTTTTTCTTGGATTTAGTTAATGGGTCTTGGGTTTAGAAATTTTTTGGTTATAATTAAGGAAAGACCCAAGTAGGTAGAGGAGAATTAATATATTGGATCGGTTTGGATTGGATCGATTTTCATCAACTTATCCAAAAACCGATCCAATCCAATTAAAATTTGCGGTTTTTTTTCGGTTTTTGATTTTTCGGTTTTCGGTTTAATCGGTTTTCGATTTTTCGGTTCGGTTACCGCGGTTTGAATCGGTTTGGATCGGTTGATGAACACCCCTATGAAAATGTGACTTTTAAGTCACTTAAGGCCTAGGTGGGTCCCACACGCGATTTAACTTTAATCCCATCATCAATTCCAACTATAATTTCATAATCTACTTATTTTTCTGGTTCATGACACATTTTTGTTTCCTAAAAATATTGATAAGAATTTCACGCTTATCGGTACACTTATACCACAGTATTTTACACCGGAAAAATCATTATTCATTGATTTTTCCAAAACTTGCCTGTCCACTCAATTTTTCGTTCTGAATCCATTTCCAGGGTTATTTTTACCATCTGAGACCTTCTACTCAATTTTTATCTTCCTAGGGTTGCGTGTTGGCTAATTACTGTTTTGCCCTTTCTTTGTATTTTGGCCTAATCTTTAGGATTTTCACTGAATCTTCACTTAATTACACACTTAATAGTTTAAACACTTAATTTAAAATTGTGAGGTGTTATAACTGAGAAACAAAGCGGAAATGAATTTCCCAAAACTGGTCCAGAACTGCCACATGTGTAGTAGGCACATGAGCAGTCTGCGTTCCTCCATTTTTTTCAGGTTTAAGACCAACCCAGATTTTTCCCAAATTTTGACACAAGGTAGAGGACATCTCAACCTTCAAAATGGCGTATGGAACGTCCCTATCGGACCTCTATAGAGGGAGATATGCTCTCCCAAAGTTCACCTAAAATCTGCCAATTCTACAGAAAATTCGCCAGAGTTTCTTTTGTTTTTCCTTAAATCCCCAAATTTGTACAGACTCAAAAGTACATCAATTGTACCTAATAATCCAATAATAATCCAGTAATAATCCAATGGGTGGCACACACAAGGACCAACAACGCCTTGGGGCACTTAAAACCCAATCCAGTTTATAGTTATTAGACACATAACTCACTTTAATCATTTTTAAATAGTTGCAATCACTAACATCACTTTCATGCATTTTTTCATCATACTTGTAATCATCATCTAAAATAGGCCTAAAGCCCTTCCATCATATTACATCAATATTCATGCATACTTACAACATTTCATTTAAATATAACAACGTACATATTCATAACTTGAATTTACAACTTGAAATATGAACTTGAATTTACAACTTTAAACATAACTTCGAATGAATTAATAACTAACTAGACTCAGGCACAATATATATCATGAACAAGTAATGACAATACTCCCATGACTCATCCTACGGGCCTCTTGTCCGCCACTCCTGTGCCACTGCTACCTCCTGAAATAAATGCCCCGAGACGGGGTGAGATATACGAATATATCTCAGTAACCCAGAGGTTCTAGAGAAAACTCCGCCCAATGATTCACTTCGATGCATATCAATAGTATAAAACAACCACTTTCAAAACGGGATAAAGCAAGGGATTTAGAGAAACTGGGGAATATCGGGATACAAAATACGACGATGCGGGATGGTAGCTACCAATACCACGCACGCCCTGGGCATATATAAGCCTACGGGTATCATCCAATGTGTGTTCCAAGAACCACAACCATGATGCCCAAACCAACCATAACACCCGAGACATTCCTATTGTGCTCCTATCCGGATCACACACCACGACCCTAGGTCAACTGGAACTCCCTCTCAGAGACCTATCCAATGGAAGTCCAAAATTGCCCGAAGGCTAAAACTGTCTACTGGCCAGAGACTCAGTACATAAGTACCCACTGTGATAATGCATGCATGCTCATGTGTTCTACACTACTCATATACACTTCCTACCATTCCCATCAACTGGCAAGGTGGAACAGAAAAGGGAAACAAGCCCCAGTACCAAGAGGTTACCTTAAGTTGTTCTTTCACTTAGTTCCGCAGCAGCTTATTCTCTGACTTGGTACACAACTGAATGCCTCAATCCACTTGGTCCAGGACCAAGGGCAATCCACTGATTCACTGTTCAAGGTTCAAGTCGACGTACGACAACCTATACAACCACGTACAACCATCAGTGTACGTCAAATTACGTCAAAACGCGAAAAACGCGAAATCCTCCCTTGATGGTTCGGCCATAGTAGTGTTAATTAGAGATTTATTTTTCTAAATTTTCTTTCTCATTTTATTACTCATCCTTAGGTTGCCATAAGGCTAATTCAAGTGTCGTTTCGTCGTTTTACATCTTTTAAGCACCGTTTTACCAAATAACTTACTCTAGGTTCACTTATGTCTTTAGACCCAATTTATTAATTTCCATTGATTCTTCCACTATCCATCCCTCACACAACCCATCTAATTACCATTTGATTACGCAACACATGATCCCTATAATTTTTCCAACTCAATTCCTACACTTTCATAACATAACCGATTTACATCATTGCACACATCCAAGGATTTCCATCTATTCTTACAACTCCACACCTCAACCAATTACATTATATCATCATTCAATCATACAACAACTCATTATTAACATCACAACACATTTTCCAAAATTCCATGTCATGACCATAAAAAAAATCCTAAGTTTAAAATCATCAATTTTCACTTAAAATTTTCATTGCATTTCTAGCTTTAATACATCATTCTAAGGCATTATCATCTAATACACATTTTTCAATTGAGCTCCCTAACACAACACATCATCAAATCAAGCTTTAGGTTTCCAAAAATTCAATCACAATTAAACCATGTAAATGGGATGGAAACATACTCACAACAAAGGCTAGAAGCTACCCCAAGACTCCTCCAAGCAATGGAAGCTCAAATTACTCCATGAACCTCCATTTTTCCCAACAAATTCGAATCTGACTTTGGCCTATATCTCCCCAAATACGCGGTTTCAAGGCTCAAGAGTAGGATTTATCAAGGAAGAAAATTTTGAACCTAAAATGGCTAAGGATAAGGGGCTGCACGGTTTTGGGCTGAAAGGAGGGGAGAGAAGGTGATGATGAATAGTGGTGATGAGGTGGATTAAGTGGATTTTAAGTGGGGAGGGTCCCACACCACCTCACGCGATTTAAAACTCATCCGGATTTCTCTACGATTCCACTAAATGTCCGTAAATTCACAGCCTATTTAGAAACTCTAATTTTTAACATTAACCATTCTCCTTTAATTATACTTGATTAGATGAGTCCGGAGTTTTTCGGTCGTTCGGAGAAAACACTGTTTTAAGCTATTGCGCGCGACGTTGGCACGCTTCCCCAAAATGACTTAATTCCATAAAATTTTATCAAAAATCATATTTCCTAACTCAATAAACCATTTATAACTCATATTTGAAACCTAGAGCTCAAAACTCAACTGGCACGTTTTACGCTGCAATCGTACCGCGGTATTTTTACCCGCGAAAAACACTATTCACTGATTTTTCTAAAACTTTCCTATCCACTCAATTTTTCGTTCTGAACCCATTTCCAGGGTTATTTTTATCATCTGAGACCTTCTACTAAATTTTTATCTTCCTAGGGTTGCGTGTTGGCTAATTACCGTTTTGCCCTTTCTTTGTATTTTGGCCTACTCTTTAGGATTTTCACTGAATCTTCACTTGATTACTCACTAACAGTTTAAACACTTGATTTAAAATTGCGAGGTGTTATAGAGGGGGAGTTAAGGGTTCGACCCTTACCTTTTTGTAGTACACAAAATTAGTAATTCAATTAAGGAACAACCCCTAAATCTTCCGATACTCCAAAAGGACGAGTCTAGCCCCTTCAAGGTGTTGGCCGCGCGCACAAGGAGCTGGAGTGGAAGATGAAAGTTTAAATTTAGTCGTGCACGCAACGAAGATTCCTCTTAAGCTCCAAGGTTTCGGACTTTAGCTACATGCAAACTGTAGCATCCCGCTGATTTAGGAAATTATATAAATTATAGTTGGAGACATAGGAGCTTGCTTAGAAGTCGACATATATATTTATATATGTATTTAATTAGGGCAAACCTATTTTAATTCATGAGATTTATGTTAATTATAATCTTGAGTACGTATTTTAGGAAATTGAAATACTAGTTAAGAGTATAGGAATAATTTAACTATAATACATAGAAAGCATAACACTACTTTGAATTGTATGGGTACTCATTAAAAGTAAGTGAGTAATTTTATTACAAAGAATAAACCCTTAGTAAATAATTAGTAGAATATTATGTGTGAAAGGTGGGCCTTTAGGGCACTTAATTTTGAACCCCTTTTTCCATTAAGGGCCACGGCCCAAGGGTCCTCTCGGAGGATTTAAGGCAGCCTTTAATTCATTAGACCTTATAAACCTTAGCCAAGTGGAAATATTTGATGATGACACCTAAACATTGGTGCGTTTAGGATAGAAGGAGAATTCTGATCTTTGTAATACCCAATCAGCCTATGCAAGTTAGCCAAGTGCCAACCAAAAATCTCTAAACCTATGCATGTCCGCCACCTACACTCTCCTGGGACGCTTGGTTTTCACCCTCTATGTTTTCGGCCAAGCTTCTCTCATTCTTCTAAGAATTCGTTGTTCAATGTGTAAAAGAAAAACAATTCCTACGCATGTGTCCTTCAAGCACCATAGGGGAAGAATAACACACAGCCACCTTTGTTCCCCTTCATGGCCGTAGACACCTAGAGGAGAAGCAAAGAATTTCGTGTTCTATTCTTCCACCTGTTTCCAAAGTTGTGAGTCTCCCAAAGGCAAGCACCATAACTCGTGAAGCATACCTTCTTTCCCTTTGCACAGCCACCCATCCAACCGAAGGCTTGCATCAATTCCCCTCTATTTATGCCCACTGTTGTCAACAACAAGTCTGAGTCTTTTCTGTACATTTAGAACAGAAAACCGAGCCTATGAATTCCTCACAAAACTGTGACGCTCTCTTGAGAAGGACCAACATGCCATCTTTCATCTCCTTTCACTCGTTGGTCGGCTGAATGCAGCAGCCAAGGGGACTGCACACTAGCCTCACATCCATACTCATTCTCTTGTTCGGCCAAAGGCCCTCCTTTAAGAAGGTGAGGTATTTGCTCCTTTCCTTGTTCAACACCTTTTGAGGCCATTCTGATTGGGTTCTTTTTCCATTGCATGCATATGTTCTGATCTTAATCTAGCTTCTTCCCTTTTCATGTTATCCCAAACGCGAATCATGGAGCCTAGGAAGAGCATGGGCTGCTTCTCGGTCAATTGTGGTCTTGGGCGTCGATACAAGGAAAAAGTAAGTGAACTCTCAAGATTGTTCTTTATCCCCTGCTATTCGACCAATACATGTACCCTAGAAGAATGTAATTGTGTCCGGTTGCCCTCATTATTTTTGGTCCAGCCGTGTATAGTCATGGGTGTGGTACTTGCAATTAGTTACAAGTAGTTTTGTGAAAGGGGAAAAAAAAGAGGACCCTCCTTTCGATTGTTGGACTGCCGGTGATTAATCAAGTAATTAAGTTTTCATGTACTAGATGTAGAATGCAGCACATTTATAAGTCTTAGCACACCATTTGTTTAGTAGAAGAGGTTAAGTAAATAAACAGCCTTGAACGTAGCCTAAGTAAGATGTAATTGACCTTTTCATGAGCATGGAAAATAGTTTCCTTAGACTATTGGATGGTACGCTGTATTAGACAGAAAACTAGTAGAATGGCACATGTTTAAAATTGGTTAAATCTCACACTAAAGTATTATTGATTTAATTTAAGTCATGTAAGTGGTTTTATTTAATTAAAATTATGAGTTCTTAGGGAGTGGTTCTCGTAACCGGTTCTGTATGATAATGGAGCTATGAATTTTATTGTTGTTAACAAGTAGTTAAGAATTAATTGAAATCAGAATTTGATGCATACTGTTAAGGGTCAAAAACCGATTCTGCATGCTGTTGAAATTGTGGATTTTAAGTGTGTTGACAAATTGTTTAAGTAGAGTGAAATCAGAAAATTAGTTGGTGTATATGTAGGAAGACTCTTAATGGCTAGCCTTCAGTAGAAAGAATTATGTAAACACAATTCTGGTCATGTTGTTAAGCTAGAAGCCGAACCTATACATGTATGAGACTTTGGGAAATTAATACACCAAGGGCCGAGATGTAAATGATAATAGTAGCTCAATGAATCGGTTAAGGTACTAGGATTAGGAGCATAAAAATTAATTGTTAATCAGTCATGAAATTAGTATGAAGTCAAGAATTTGGTTGGTATAAAATACATGTTAATCTGAGTAAAATACAAGAACATTAGGAGGCATGGAATTGGCTTATGAATAATAGGGATCTATGAATAAAATTCTGACTTGTACCGCATGTGTTTAGGTGCAAGTAACTCTTATTGAGTGAGCTGAATTTTGGTGCTGTTGATTATTGCTTGGACACGAGATAAGTGTCTGGCGGCATTACCTCTTGTGACTGCTAGCTAATACATGAATTGTGAACGTTGCTCTCATGTGCCTTGGTTCTGAATTTTGTATATGATAATTGGATTATGCTCATGGTCTTTCTTTGCTGAATACTTTGTTTTGGAGAATTATTGGTTATTCAGCACTCTGATATTAGAAAATCCATGAGATATATGATATCTTGATTATTATCTAGTCATGCATACACATTCCATGATTTTTAATTGCCTGTTCGTGTGCGAATCATGTCATAGCATACATGCATAAGTTTCATATTGACATCTGAAAATAAATATTATGATAAGCATACGATTGAGCACGCATCATGTAGGCATCCCTGCGGTACCAGGGTATGGGACACTTGGCTTCAATCCGTATAGGTTACAGTTGGAACCCTCCGAGGAGCCATTAAGGGAGGGACCTCCACTGTTCTGGTGTGTGCAGGCACGATGGTGTTGTACATTTTTGGCGTTATATACGCAATCTGATTAGTACTCTGGCGTTATATACGCAATATGATAAAGTTTAGTATCTGTCAGATTTAACTTGATGACGCGGCTGCTTTGTAATTCTGTATTTAGTTAGTACTGTTGCATTTCTGGTTTTGTTGCCACACTACTGAGATTTTTCTCACCCCTTTGGGGCTGCTATTTTTACAAAATGGCAGGAGGACGGAAGAGCATTGGAAGACATAATTATATGGATATTTGCTGTTATGTGCTGCTAGATGGACTATTGTTGTTGCTGTTTATTTGATGGATGACTGTATTAAATTGAGTAGGTTGGATTACTGTTGAATTATGATTTTATTACTATTTTTAAGACTTTTGTGATCAGCAAGTATTTTGAAAACAAATTCCTGAAACGTTTTGCGAAAATAATTTCTGAGGTTTTTGAATGCTGATTTTTTAAACAGATTTAACGAGCACTTTACGAGTTATATTTAGTGGGGCTACAGACCTCCAATTCGCTTATATTTTATATGCACGCGAAGCCCCACGTGTCTATTTTCAGATTATGTAAACGTTACAATGGAATTTTGAAAACTGGATTTTATACGAATTTTGCAAGACAGCAACGTCTGCTAGGAAAATAATAATTTCAGCAAGTTAAGAATTTTGAAAGTATACTCTGATTTTTGTAAGTAAATCGATTTCAACTATGTGTTTTAATTAGGAACGTCAAAATGATTTTCAGTACATAAAATTGTGACGAACGAACTCTAATTCTGCTTAGCAAACAACTCTCTTAGATGCATACAAGGGAGGGTGTTACACAAACAGAGAAAAGTTCCCATCAAAGCTGAACGAAATGCGTAGGAACGTGGAAAAGATGAACACCTTACCTTGTTGATAGTTGAGGTTCGGTCACAAGGGAGAGGAGGAGAAGAATGCTAAATATCTTGTGTTCTGCTCATGGAGCTCGCGGCTGAAACAAATGGAAGATGAAACAAATTTTCCCTTGCGTTCTTTCCTAAGAACGTTCACGGGTCAAGGGGGAATGAGAAGGTGTTTAAAACTTTTTGTTTTCTCTCAATGATGTGCACGGTTTAGTGGAGGAAAAGAGAGGGAATACAAATTCTGGTTTGTTTTCTTTGCTAAATGCCTACGGCCTTAAGAGAGTGAGGATGGTGTTTAGGTTTTATTTTGAATAGAAAGGTCAGCTCTCTTTCTCCTAAGGTGCGTACAAGTGATGGGGAAATAAGAGTCACGGTTGCTGAATTAAAATTGACTCATTCAGATTTCTTTTTGGCCCCATTGGCTGCATGGTTGGCCAAAAGCTGAAAGACTTAAATGTTTTGACAAGAATTCAGCTTGCTTCTTACACACTCTATGCACATGCAAGGAGTGGTGGAGGATAGTGTTTGCCACATGGTGAACATGCAAGGCTGAGGTGGAATGGGGCTACTAGAACATGTGACCAGAATTTTATTTTCTCTCCTATACCTAGCGCATGAAGAATGTACAAGGGTGGATGGCTCTTGGCTGATTAAGCTTGGATGCTCAAGGACAATGGGTCATAATTTTTCCTTCTACACATGCGCACATGTGAGGGAAGAAAATGTGTAGGATTATTATCCAATAAAAGGACATGCAAATTGCTCACCATTCTCTCATTGGCTGCATGTCTAAAAAACTGAATGGATTTGATTAAGGCCACAAGTCATCAGAATTTTCTTTTTCCTTTTTGTCTACCCAATGCGCACCTATGGAGGGGGAACAAGGATGGTGAGGTTTGGCCATGTGTGGATCCCTTGCCAATCAAGGGCTGCCTTGTGGGATGCTTAAGATGAGGTTATAATAAATACAAGGTTGGGCTGAATCTAAATCACTCTCTAAGGCCCTTGGCTCGTCGGCCAACCCCAAAGATTTGGGTCCAAAAATATACCAATCTAATGACCTACTAACTTATAAACCAACCCACCAATTTATAATTTCCCAAGTCTTTTAGGTATTATTGATCTTTCTATATATTACAATCAAGTTATTCATATACTTTTGATGGAAGCTTCACATGCCTAAATCAATACTCACTTACCATGGTAATTCAAATAATTTCCTAACTTATTTTAATTCCACTCTAGAGAAAATAACTATATAATTCGCAAGCAAAGCATGTTTTAACATATAATTTGAATTTAGCACATGCTTCCATATTCCTCCTCGCAATTTATATATTTTCCTAATTACGTGGGATGTTACAGGAATAATCTTTTCTGGTATTTTCTTCTGAATTCTTTTGAATGGTTGTTCCCGTTTTTCTTTGTTTTCTTTCTTCTTGTCCTCTTTACTCATTTTGGATTTGTTCCTCGCCCCTTTTTGTTGACCATGGGATGTGTGTGTGTGTGTGTGTGTGTGTGTGTGTTGCAGTGTGAATGGGAATGTAAGTGTTTGTCAAAGGTTGAGTGTTAGAAGGTTGATCCTTGTTAGTGAAATTCACCTGTTCTTTAGCAGTACTTACAACATCAAGGCAAGTTAGAAGTTTCATTGTGGTGACACCTCAGGAACACTCTCATGAGTAAGTGTTTCGCATTTTTTGTTCCTCACCAGTTTTAGTTCACACAGATCAGCATTCTTCAAAAATCTGAAGATTAAACTCATTTCACCTTTCCTATGTCAAGCATTCAGAGTAAGAACAAGAATGATTACTTAGTAACTTTGTGTTTCATGCCATTGGTTTTTCAAAGTTTCACAGCCACAGTACTATAAATGAGATGTATGCTCCAAACAGTTTGATCAAAAAGATTTTTCTATTTAAAAAAAAAATACAATTACACTAAGGAACGAAAAAGAAACGAAAGGGAAATAACAGAAAGCAATAAATAATAAAAAAACAGAATAGGAGGATCTTTCTCCTTTTTAATAAGGACGTCTCTTGCCTAGCTCAGAGTTCTTCTCAGCATCTCTTTCCTCCTGCGTGGGTGGTCTCCTGCTGAGCTGTTCTCTTAGTCTTCTTACTTCAGCTTCAGGGAGCCACTTCTCAGCATCCTTCAGTAGATCGCTGATCATAGCAGTGAGGACCACAATGGTGGATCTCATCATTATCCTACCATTGTGGATGTGCACCAGCTATCCTTCCACATCTAGCATTCGGTGTTCCAGTTGAGTGATTTTCCCCTCCAAATATGTACCAAAAGCTTTGAGAGCTTCTTTGGTTTCTGTTTGTTCCTCAGAATTTTTGAGGAGGAGTTTCTTAAGCTGCAATTCAGCTCTAGTGTTATGTAGGGAGTGAGCAAGTTTCAGGGATTCAGATGCTTTCTTGATTTCATCCCTGACAGCTTGCAAGGTTGGTGCAGAAGGTGCAGCCCTGATGCTGCTGATGCTGTCTCTGATGGTGTTAAGAAGCTTCTCTCTTTCTGTTCTCTGTTGTTCTTGGAATTTGTTGACAGCAAAAGAGAGTTTATCCATTCCGTTCCTAAGAGCCTTCAGCTCTTCAGTGGTATAGTCATGTTGATCTGAGGAGCGGATGGAGTCTCAGGTAGCAAATTCTCCACCTTCTTCCCCATCATTTCAAACAGCTCAACAATCCCTATATGGGATTTTCTCCTTGAGCCAATGAGGATTGCTGGAATAGGGGAAGATGGCTTCTTCTTTTTCTGGTTGATGTTGCCAGAAGCTCGAGGTCCTTCTGGTGCTTGCCTGACAGCAACCTCCTGTATTTTTGAGGAAGAGGGGGCTGTTGTAGCTTGTTCCTCCATCAGTAGAGGGACTTCCAAGCCCTCCTCTTCTGCCAGAGCCCTAGCAATGGCCTCGTCCCCAAAAGTATCGGGACAAATGATGGGGCAAGAGAGGGGCCCTCCCAGACTAAGTTTCCTGGGAACATTTGGCTTTTTCCTTTTAGGGGATTTAACCAGAATCCCCTTTTCTTTGTCTAGGTTCTTTTGTGGCTGAGCCTCTTGCTCAGCCACCTGTTCTTCTGCAGCAGGTGTTGCATCTGTTTCTTTCATTGCCTCTCCTTCTTGTTGCCTAGGAGAGGGTTGCTGTATCACTGGTGGTGGTGAAGAATGAGCAGGTGATGGTGGAGGGGATAGAACATTAGAAGATGAAGTAGCAGACCTACTTGGGGACGTTTCCCTAGAAGCTGGTTTGGACGTTCCTCCAGTCTTCAACCTTTTTGAGATAGGCTCATTGTCTTCACTGTCCCCATCCTTGTCAGAGAGGGTGTGTAACATCCCAAGCGCTGACGAGGGCGGGGAGTGATCGCCGGTGCAAAGAGACACGGACAAGGAGCGGCTCCTGACAGGCTTCCAGCGGGGGTTACATGCATGAATGAATCGAATCGACACCCGAAAGAGAGGGATTCCAAAGGCTGTGCTGGTATAAGGCTGCACAGTTTGGGATATCTTATAAGAATTAATTGGTATTACCTATACTAACAATATGCATATACTTTTCGGTAGCCCGAAATGGAAGAACTCCATAGTTAAGCGTGCTAGACTTGGAGCAATTCTGGGATGGGTGACCTCCTGGGAAGTTTTCCCGAGAAGTGTGTGAGTGAGGAAAAAGCACACTAAAAAGTCTCGTGTTAGTATGTGGGGATAGTCGTTGATTCTTGAAGCGGCCGAGCGTTACAAGTGGTATCAGAGCAGGGCCTCTCTTCCAGTACGGTGTGGTTCGAGGACGAACCAGGCGGAAGCTGGTGGGCATGTAACATCCCAAGCGCTGACGAGGGCGGGGAGTGATCGCCGGTGTAAAGAGGCCCGGACAAGGAGCGGCTCCTGACAGGCTTCCAGCGGGGGGTTACATGCATGAATAAATCGAATCGAAACCCGAAAGAGAGGGATTCCAAAGGCTGTGCAGGTATAAGGCTGCACAGTTTGGGATAGCTTATAAGAATTAATTGGTACTACCTATACTAACAAGATGCATCTACTTTTCGGTAGCCCGGAACGGAAGAACTCCATAGCTAAGCGTGCTAGACTTGGAGCAATTCTGGGATGGGTGACCTCCTGGAAGTTTTCTCGGGAAGTGTGCGAGTGAGGAAAAAGCACACTGAAAAAGTCTCGTGTTAATATGTGGGGATAGTCGTTGATTCTTGAAGCAGCCGGGCGTTACAGGGTGATAAGTGTCTCAGAGGATGCTCCCTCTGGCCTTTTTGTGCTGCTGAAGGTTCTCTTCAGCCTCTGACTGGAGTGTTCCCCCTTTCATAGGGGAGCTTTGGCAGGGGACTTCTTTTTGCCCTGCTTGCTCTCAGTAGCAGCAGGGGCTTCCTTCTTCACCTTGGTGGGAGGTGGAATGGTTCTTCTTGCCTGGGTGTAGGCAGAAGTGGATGATTTTGAAGGGGTGGCCTTTGTGGTTGTCTTCTCTTGGGCCTCAAGGCCCTCTTCTTCATCAAAATCACCAGTATCAGTGCGCCTGAATTCCTCAGGGACTGGT